GTCATGACGGATTCACAAAGCTACACCCTGGGACAATGAACCTCAAGCATTTCACTCTGTTTTCTGCTGCACACCAAAGACCAACCCTGATCCTAGTTGAGCTCTCATACTTGTCAACATGCACATTAACTGGGGCATCAGAGTGGAACAATAAAGGCCTGCTTGTAAGAAAAAAAGGGACTGAAGTACACGGAAATATTATAAGTTGTCTTTTGTAACTTCTGATTTCTTTTGCAGACTTTTTTTTTCTCCTGTTTTCCAACCTCAAAGCTAATAAAGCTGTTAAAAAGTGTCTGATTTCACAATAATTGTGTGTGTGTGTGTGTGTGTTCTGTGAAGGGTTTTTTGGAAGCTACGTGAATATTTTAACACACAATGCTCCCCATCAGCTCACTGTCAGGCATGCGAGAGTGTGTTGGATACTTTACCACATTACATTAGGACACAGTCCTTGTCAAAGGGTTTAAGGATGAGTTGCAGTTATGCAAATATGCGGCTGCGAGTGATATAGGCAGCGATTCAATCGACAGACATAATGAAACGAAGATTATAATAACACAAACTGATTATGGGGCAGCTATATTGCTATTTAGTTCTGGATCATGGCAACAGTAATAACAACAACAAGACAATACCTCGGTTCAAAGGTGTGGGCAGACAAACAAACACAAAGTAATCAGAATTAATTTAATTTAATTACCAGGCACGCAGAACAAATCCCTCCTGAGGAAAAGCAGAGTAGCACTAAATTTCTGATGAGTAAGAGATATAAAGACCTGACATCACTTTAAAATCAAACATGCTGAACCTAAGTGAACACATTTATCTACAACTTTATCGTCTTAAGGACACTTCAGTCCTTTTTTTGTAGCGCCTCATTGCTTTGGGTACCTTTGTCTGCAAGTTTATATTTGATATACTTTCATATATTACTTATTACTGATTCTGAATATAATTCATCAGCTATGAGCTTTTAACTTTATTTAGTTTGGTAATCTGTCATTAATCATCAGTGTGTATGCTCTGTAAATCTGGGTGACTAAGAAGGTGCACTGTCTGCCCACCAGAGGGCAGCATATGACCTTCTGGAACTTCCACATTTGTTCATTACGGACTTTTCCAAGGAAAAACTACATAGCGTTTATTAAGTATTATATCAGTTTTATATAAGTCGAACTAAAGCAAATAGGTTAGATTCTTCCATAGTCCCTGTTTCTTAATGGTTACATGGCTAAGACACAAAATGTTCCTTGAGTACCTTTAGTACTGTCTTTGATGTGCATCATTACGCTGCGAGTGTCTGAACAAGAAGAAGAAGACGAAGAAACTGCTATTAAAGATCAAACACTCTTTATTGAACTCAAGAGAACTAAAAGCAAAACATGTGGGTTAAGGTTTTGCCTGTCTGCGCTGATAATCAATTATCATCGCCGTTAAGTTCAAAACATATATCGAGGATGAAGTTATGCATTTTAAAAGTCTGAAAATCAAAATCCAAAAACAACAAAGCATCGGTAGAGTCACTTGTTTGCCCTACGGGATGCGAAGTAAAAGCAGATGAATTCTTCTTTGAGGCCTCAGTAGAAGGCAAGCTGAGCTCAGGAGCTGCTCCTAATGTCTCACGTGAAGTGATCCACAGCAAGCGCTCGATCACGAGGCGATTCGTGATTCACTGCGCGAGCGCCGTGGGAGCAATTTGATCAAACAGACATACAAAATAAAGCAACTTCACAACAAAATAGAGTTGGCAGCAGGTTTCAGCTGTAACACGTCGTTCTGTAGAAGCCATGGTAAGGTAAACAGGTAAACATAAAAATAACTTAAACATAAATAGATCATATTTGAATGCATGTTGGACCGCAGTTGCACACTGCAGGGTGACGCTCGTGTCTGCCTCCTCATCCTAAACGTGTTTTTCTTGCAAAGGGGCAATTGCTTCCCCGTTCTTCAACCTTGCTTTTTTTTTTTTGCTTTTTTGGGGGGGGTTTTAGGGTTTTGGTTTGAGGTTGTTCTTGTTGCCCAATTCTTTGGAAGTTTTGGTTTTTTTTAAATTTTCAAACGTTTTTTTTTCCGACCAAGATTTTTCTGCGTAAGTGAACACAGCACCATTTAAATACAACATAAAAAAACACCTGAAAACGCTATTAAGTCCGATTTCGTGCAGCAGCAGTCAAGTTTTTCTCGCAGGTTTGTGATAAGTAGTGTGAGGCAAGGCCAAACGGCTCAGCACCTTGAAGGCACGCTGGAATAATAAGCCAATTATCTTCTTAACTTCGTCCCAGGTGTTTTTCAGATATAAATTGATTTTTCATTTCACGCTGCTTCGCCCACTTAATGCCTAGTGCATCGATGAAAACTCAGTACGCATCAGTCAAGCTGTTTGGTCTGGTCTTCGCGCATGCCCAAACGGCCCCTTCTAAAGCTCATTTTGCCCTAATTCACCTACGCATATACGCACAGACGCATGCGTGTGCTTTAAAAACTACAGCCCAACACTGGTTTCAAATGTATAAAAACAAAACAAAAAACCAACTCAAATATCAAACTGAACATGAAAATCTGACATAAGACTCAAGTGTTTGGCAAAGAAACAAACAAACATGCTGAAGCCCGCACGAGTAAAGGCTCGCAGATTCACTCATTCCAAATCCAAAGAAAGCTGCCGTGACGATGAAGATGAAGAAGATGGCGATGATGGCGTCATGATTTCCCCATCATGCACTGAGAAACCTCTCGGTGCCCTTCCACAGAAAGGAGTGTCCCTTACAATCGAATGTCATAAGATTTAAACGTAAAACTCTGTATTTTACACGTTTATAATGCGACAGACGAGACGTGTGGCGCCACTCTCATATAGATATGAAATTTCTAATTTGCTTTATGCGTCTGACACTAAATAAATCTTTCGAGAAAAGGGAGAAAATAATATCATATTTACAAGGTGACTTTTGGCATCCATATTCAGTTCTATATTACCACGACATGAGTTATGTGACAAACTGGTGCATCCGCAGTTTGAAACAATAAAAAATACAAAGAAGAAGAAGAAAAAAGAAAGAATAAAACAAAAACAAAGGTTTGGCATGTCGATTTGATCATTTTTGATATAAGAGTTTTGTTAAAATATAAAATCAAAACGCAACAGGGACTGGCAATAAACCTTTGCTATCACACGACCCAGTAAGTATAATTATTTGTCATATACAGTATTCAAAGGACTCCTGAAAACTCCCAAGCACGATACAAAGAAGGACAAGCCGGTTAGTATATACATGTACAGTCTCTTACAGCTGTGCTCAGTTGGATAAGTGTCCCTTCCTTCTCTTTCTAATACTCTGGATATATAAAAAAACAGAACAAAACAAAAGGATTTCTGTACAGTCTTCCCCGTTGCCCCAACCTTCCCTGGGAGATTATTGTCCTTTTGAATGGCCAATCCTCTGTCCATTCTGTGATTGGCCTTGACTTAAACCACCTCTATCTCTGTGGCATCGGATGATCTAAAACATTGCTTTCCCTCTCTCAGAGTTCTTTCTGATTGGCTGTTAGATGAACCATTCCTTCTTTGATTCGTCAATGGTTTCTGGGTTGTCGGTGCCGATGATGGCCGTATCCGCTGATTCCGCGGCCGACTCCCCGCTGCCCTTTGCCTCGTTGGTGTGGTAAGTGCCTTTGTGACGGAACATGTAGCGGATCAGGAACACCAGAGTGCATAAGATGGTGAAGATCACCACTGCAATAATACCTGTAGTAGAGACAGAGAGGCTTTTTCAAATACTGCTACCAACCTGCTCCGACCATGAAATTCCTCATATGAGTCAATGTCTAAGCAAAGGCAAACACAGCCTGCTTCTGCCATCTCAACTGGGAGATTAATGCAATAACAATGTATGTAATGCGATGTTTGTAATGTAATTAGAAACATTAGTGAACTGTAGTCTGTTTTTGGTACTTTTTGGACAGAAAGAAGGAATTTGACTGTCACTTGAAAAGTATAAAGCAGACGTTTTTAATAATTAACTATGATCAGAATGTCTGTGATGTAGCAGCTCATCCAGGTCACGATCTATCACAACCACTGGTTATTGTAATGTGTGAAGCACAGAGAGCAAATAAATAGTAAATGGGGCACTTAGCACTCAAGGCAGTTTCTTCTACAAGCCTCATTCACCCAATCACACACACTTTTTTTTTATACCAAAACTCCTTGTCTAACATTTACACACACTTCAGCGGATGCATCAGGTGGCAGCTTGGGGTTCAGTATCTCGCCCAAAGAAACTTTGACCTGCAGACTAGAGGACACAGGGATCGCCACATTCTACCTCCTGAACCACAGCCGACCCAAGCGATAAAGCCCTGCTCAAATGTTTTGGGCAAGACACTTACCCCTCCCAAAGTAAAAGCTAGTGAAGATCAAAAGGTGCTACATAAATGCCAACCATGTGGCTGTAGCTCAGGAGGCAGAGAAGGTCATCCACTATGCTGCAGTCTGCATGCCAAGCAAGCTACAGCAAGATACTGAACCCAGAGTTGCTCTCCGTTCCATTTATTAAAGTTTGACTGTCAGATAGAGAGTACTTAGGCTATACTTAGAACTATAGAATAAATTAATAATAAACTCACTGAAAACTTTAAAGACCTCTTAAATGTGGAAAATCAATTAGCAATAAAAAAACCACGTTTAAGCACTTTTAACTTGATGATATGATAATGGCACTTTGTACCTCCAATGATGGCAGAGTCCCTGTTGACTCCATCGGGAATCACTCTCTCCTCATTAAAGGGGAACACTGCATCTAAACAAGGAATGAGAGAAAGACACAAAAACAAGCTGAAACAACAGTGCACATAGAAATGCCCAGCAGATCAGGAAAGTTCCTTTTATATACGTACGATCTCTATCAACACAGAGCTTAATGGCGTCTCTGATGTTCTTCAGCAGTTAAAAGTCAAAAGGAACGATTGGTTGGAGAACGTTTGCTAATTAATAATCACGTGTCTTTGTCCTGTCTTCCTTCCTTCAACCCTAACCGGTCGTGGCAGATGGCCACCCGTCCACGAGCCTCGTTCTGCTCGAGGTTTCTTCCTGTTAAAGGGAGTTTTTCTTTCCTGCTGTCACCAAAATGCATGCTCATAGGGGGTCAGCTAGATGCATATAAAATTACTACTGATAGATAAATAAATATATTACTACACCGTCTCATGCATTTCATGGTTTTCATTAATCATTCATCGAGCTCAAGCAGTTTACACGCCTGCTGCCACCGTTTAATTGCAGTGATATTCCCTGGATGTACAAGGAGTGGATATGAAAGGAGTTGAGATGAGTGGAGGGTGTGTAATAAAAGAAAGAAGTAAAATGACATTGCTGAAATTGCCAATAACGTCTCTCAGCAGAGAGCTGCTAACGCTCTGCAGGCTTCCATAATCGAGCAGTTCTGTGCAAACACAACCTCAATATGCATATTTTAACACAGGAAAAACATCACCCTGCTATGAGCCCGTCAGCTATTTGTAATGCAGGCTGTACTGCCCATAGTTCTCCTGGGAAGTCACAAGCATGAGTAAGAATCAGTTTTAGCAAGCAGAATCATGGCCTGAATGCTTTGTTGTGCCAAACACATTTATTTTGCCAAGACGACCACTACAGTGTCTCTGTAGGTGCCTCTTGTTATTCTTTTTGTTTCGTTTTATTATTTTATTTTATTATTCGCATTATTATCAGAGTGGGGATTACGCTGGATTGGACAGGAGGTGAGGGCCAGGTGGGGGAAAGTCAGTAGAAGTCAGTGGAGGAATAGAAAAAGAAAAGGGAAAGAAAGGGGTTAAGGCCCAATCTAAATCAATAATTTGAACCTACATAGTTTCAGGCAAATTAAACAATAGGCCAGAAAATACAGCTAGAATTTTTCTCTATTCTATTATTTTTTTGCTCATATAGAATAAACATGCTAGTCCACGCTTTGGTTCTCCAAAGCATGAAATCAACATGCCAGCAGGACGAGATACTATATTTAACGTCAAGAAGTCACTAGTAAGCAAGGAAGGTATGAAGTACGTTCCAGGGTCCTTCTATGCAAAAAACGATTAAGCTAGGTGGCTAATATGTATTTACATTTACAGTGCCCAGTGATTATTGGTGACCACCAGTGCTACCTCTCAGCCTCCTAGTAGATGCATCTATGGTATAAATGTGAAAATCCCAGGTGATTTTCAGATATGTTAACCTCTGACGTTGATCTCAAGGTTGAGGTCAGTAAGATTTGAACTTGTCCAAGAATTGTAGTAGATGCACATATGGTATGGATTTTAAAAAATACTATGACGATTGGTTCTCAAGTTATCGCATTCGTATAACTTGGTATCCACGTCGCCCGCCTGGCAGGGTGACGGCAAAACCCCATCAGCCTTTTTACGGTGTGACCCATCATTGGGTCACACTTCAAAAATATAATATTTTAAGCTTTCAATTTTTTCCTTTTAATTTAAGTTTGCTTATAAGCTCCTTACACGGACTCGCTCCAACCTGATTGGGTGAGTTCATCATGTTAAAACTGAATTTTAGTGAAAAAGTTACCAGAGCCTCTGCTAGAAGTAGTGAGATTATAATAATAATTCAGCTGCTATACATCAAACAACAGCTAAAGAGGGACCACATCTGTGAGCATTCATTTTATGCTAATTATGTATTAAGTGTCATATTTCATGGTGTACGCCTTCTTATTTATTTCCTTTGTATTTTCGTATGCACCATGGATTTTTATTTATTATTTATGGATTTTTATGTTGTAATTTTATGTATTTCTTATCTGGACTATATTGTTGTGCATTGTCTGGTGGTGTTTTTTTTTTTTTTTAAATATTTTTTTCTTATTTATTGTTTTGAAATTTAAATCATGGTTACCTCTGCTGCCTGCATATGCTTGGATGTAATTGGATAAAACTACAATGTATTTAAAAACAGAATAGAAAGGTGAGAACACAGAAAAGTAAACTGACAGAAACGGGAAAGGATGTCATCACCAACAAAAAGAAACTAATGCAAAAGAGTCGACTTGGCATCGCACAATCATTACGAAAGTGGAAGGATGGAGGGAGGTCTCAATATGTTATAGATCTGAGCTATCTATAGAGAACCTAAGGCAACATAAATAATAATCCACTTTGTAGACGGATGGCTGCGAGCAGACTTCGAGTGAGGACCTGGAGTCGAGATCGATGGACTGGATCAATTTCAGAGAGCTCAACGCTCCCAAAGGCACAGTTGGCACAGAGCCTGAGGAAAACGGATGCTTCCAGAATGATGACACTAAAAATACTAAAGACTGCCGCTGGATATATCATTAGTCTGTGTGTGTGTGTGTGTGTGTGCATGTGTATGTGTGTGTGTGTGTGTGTGTGTACGAACATGAAAACACACAAGTCTTAAACTAGCATTTCGAGGATACTTAATGAACTCTTGCTCTGCCGTGAAGAAAAACTTGGGGCTATAAGCTCTCCTTTGCCACCCAGAACTAACACATCTGCATTAACTGTTCAGACTGCACAGCGTTGCTTTTTCTTATCAGTGAGAAAAATGAAAAATCAACCTGTTGAGCATGTTCCACTCACCTGTTTTGTCCAGATGCCAGGGATCTGTTGCAGCAGACATTGGTGGGATAGTGAGAGGTGATGCCCCGCAGTTGGACTCCACCAGTTTACCCTGGTAAGATGCAGGTGACGCAGCTGCAGGCTGCTTTTCTGTTGGCGTTGCCTGAGACTTTACGGCTGTTCTGAGTGCAGACTTGAGTGGGGCAATTCCGTTGAACTCCACCCGCGACAGGCAGCCAATGAAACCTGGGGTGTTGTAACGCTCGATGATGACTGGGTCTATGTGTCCAGTTTCTGCACAGAGACAGGATCAGAGAGAAGCTGTCATCACCAGATGACTTTTAAAGAACCTATCTGTTGAATGTTTACTGAGACAGGTTAGTTATCTGGAACTAGAGATGGCACGATACCACTTTTTTATGTCCGATACTGATACCGATATCATAAATTTGGATATCTGCCGATACCGATATGAATCCGATATAGTGTTTTTTAATCAA